TTCTTTTGCATCCTTGGCACTGTATTGCTGACATAATTTTTCTCAGAGATACGGGTCATGTTTGCTCTCAGCTGAGCTCCTTCACCTTTCAATCCCTCTCACTCTTCGCACTCATCCACCGGCACTTGGATTCCCTCATGCTGTTCCACCTGCGCTGGGCAGGAGCGCAGGCTGCTAAAACCACAGCCAATTTCCTCTGCACCTTCCTCTTTTCTTGCCTGGTGTTTATTTTTCACACAAAAACCACTTGGAGGGGGACAGAACCATTTTTGCCTGGTCTCTTAACTCCAGTAGTGTTTTCTTCAAAAATGCATGATTTTAACCAGCTGGAGGGAGAACAGGCTTTAGTCTCATTTGTATCCCCAAAATATACAGCTACAGGCAAGGCTGCCGAAGCCTCACTTTTGGAAGGAGCATTTCAGCTAGGCCAGAAGTGTTTCAGAGCTCACATTAAGACTGGAGGTTGGCACACAAACGCCAAGAGACACCCTCGGCTTCAGCAGACTCAGCTGTGACAGGAGTTCAGAAATCCAGGGTGCAGAAGGCAGAGCAATGCTAACACTTTCCTAGGGAGATGCTGCTGTTTTTCCAGCCCCTGTTGTTACCTGGCTCTGAATGTGAAAACATCTAAGCTGCAATTGCTCATCCAAGTTTCCAAGCCTTTGGGCCAACCATTGCTACTTCAGATCATCAGTCCGTGGAGCGACTCAATAGGCTTAGCCCTTCTCTCCTCATCTGACACCAGACTTGGAAAGGAAAATCCCTGCAGCTTTCCCTGTGAATTTGCCTCCCATTACGCCATCGACTTTTGAGACCCGATTTTCACTGTGTCCCTTCATTCTCCCCTCCAACTAAGCCTGACTGTTAGCAAGACAGCGTGATTGGATTGCATTTGAGAAAGTCATACATGAAGCGAGTGAAACATGCTGCCAAAATACCACCCCGCTTATGGGAAACGAGAGGATTGTATTTCATTTTGCAGTTCACTCAGCTGAATCCCAAAGCCTCCGGCTGCCTGGAAAGCCCCCCTCTTTGCTCAAGCACTTTTTGTTAGTGACAATTTACAAATTCAGAACATCGACATGCTGTAACAAAGCAAACTCCAGCTGCACTCTCACCGTAAAAGATACGGTGTGGCAGTCTCTGCTCTCTGCATGCTCACAAAGTTTCTCTTTCACAGTCTCTTCATCATCAGACGCTGGTGACTACTCTGTCAGCTGATGGCAAAGAGTATTTGAAAGAATTTCTTTACAGACACAAACCCAATAGCTCCTCTGGCATAAGCTCCTTATGACTGCATTCAGGAAGGGCTATGGAGAAACCTTTTTTTGGGGGAATCAAAATCAAAGCAAAACTTACGTTTAGAACGAGCTGAAGTGGTCAGAATCCATTCAGCAGCAATTCTCCTCTTCTGCACTTTTTTTTACTCCTGCAAGCAAGTCCATGCCCAGTTTGACTTGCTCACACAAGCAGGGGAGATAGTTTGAGTCCTCTCTGCCTGACTGGAACCATCAATACCTAAATTCCCCAGTAACATACTCAGACGGGGCAGGGTACACGAGTGAGATTTTTCTACTTCCCTCCTCTGGGAGTCGTGACTCCAGCAAAATCCTGCTGATTTACACTGGTTTAGCTCTGCCCTCCTCTTTCCCCAGCTCCTGAGGGGGAAAACATAGGACAAAAACACATTAAAAAGGGAAATAGATAAAAACTTCTTTTACTAGAGCACAAATATTTCTGCTTTCAATTCTAAACAAGGTCCCAGGGCATTGAGGTTGTATTTGTTTTCCTTGGTACCAGTGCTCAAAAACACGCCAAGAACACCCACTGACCTAAATGAGGTCCTAAGGACCTATCTTGGTTATTATCAGGAAACTGCAAAGATGAACAGGATGCAACCTTCAGAAATCAGGTGGTTTCTGATGGGGGGAAATTGGTGAAGCACAATTATGGTAAACAAAAGCCAAAAAAAATAACAGCATCTGTGAAATGGGTCCTAAAACCTATTATCCTTGTTTACGATAAAGTTACTCATGAAGGCAAAGAGATCAAGTGCTTTCTAAACCTAGATATATCCATTTGTAGAGCATTTGTTCTTCTGGCAGAAGAATTTGATTTTCATTTCAGAGCTTTGTACTGCTCAAGACTAAGCAAGTTCTCACTAGTCCTGTTCAAGGTTAGAGGCCAGAACTTTTAGTGAGGGGATAATCCAGTTATTAAGGCTATTAAGGCCTTAGCCTGCAATATGAGAGACCCCAGGTTTAATTCCCTGGTCTTTCTAGGCTTCCCATGCCATGTAATTACTTATAATCATTTATGTCCCTGCACTAGTTGAGTGCTCTGGTTTTCCAGAGCTCTTAATATCATGGGTTAGAAGGCACTGTCACAGCTGTAAATCAGGGAGCTCGAGTTCACTTTTTGCTGGAGGTAAACATAGTAGTGATTAGGAGATGCTCACATAGTAATAATGCCGTATCTAAGGGAAATAATATTAGCATCAGGTCTGTGAGGAAAAAATCTACATATTTAGCAGCTAGAAAATCTACTGTCTTCCTTCATAAAATAGCCATAAGGGAACAAAAAAGCCAGGTTCACAACTCTGTGTTATACTGACACCTAAAAATACTGACCAAACATTATCAGTGCACTGCAAATATAATACCTCAGCAGTGATCGCATTTGTCATCATTCAAAAGAAATCAAAGTGTGGGGTTTTTTTTTTCATTTTAATCTAGAGCCCCAGACAATCTCACGACAGGATGTTTCCTCCCCTTTAAAGCCAACATGCTCTGATGACTCTAAAAGCTCAGCGTAAGAAAGGGAGGAGGAAATGAAGAGCTCCTCTAGTGAACAGCTCTTGAAGCCAAAAGCAGCTACTATGAGGTTGCAGAAATTCAGGCTGTAGCAAACGATCATCAGCGCTATAAAACATGATGCAGAAGTTACCTCCAGGTAGCAGCCGCTCAGGGAACAGAAACACTAAAGAACTGAAGGTCCAGTAAAAATATCAACTGTAACTTCCCGCTAGTTAATCACAAGGCTCTTGGTTAATGCCCTAAATTTCAGCCTTTTCCCCAAAGCAGACATAGCGTAGTGCTTCTCTCGAGCAGCGCGTGCTCTGCGTTTCAGAGAGGCAGTTTTGCTTTCATTTGGGTTTCACCAGCAACATGTGATAGAGCAGACAAGCAGAGCAGCTGGAGAGGAGACCTTTTTCAGGCAAGTAACCAGCAATTGCTAAGCTGACTGTGCAGTTTTGGAGATGCTCGGTCGATCTCTATTTAAATTCTTAGCTCCCTCCTTCTCCAGTGCCTCTCATCATGCTGCTTGCCTGTTAATCACAGAAGGGACACTGTTAAAAGTTGGGCTCTGAACGTGGGCTAGAGCAGCCTGGGGTGACTGCAGCTTGCGCTGGCTGTTTCTATGAGGCTCCTATCAGAATTAGGAAAATAAGCATTTCATCAAGAGGCTAAAACACCAATCATATTTTACTCTACCCTGAAATCCCTGTTACGATGAGCATCTATCTGACCGCATTTTACCTCCATCTCATACTTATGCAAGATACCTGCAACAAATCCACTCTGCTATTACTTGTCACTGCAGAAGATGAATTGGCTCAGACATTCAAGAGTCCCAGTCCAACAACACGAACGCTGCTCCAGAAACTACAATGAGTCTGAACTTCACATTTTTTTTTATTTTAAATATGTTGCAGGTTATTTCCAAAACCCAAGAGGGCCTTCAGCATGACAAACGATCACTCCTGAGCATAACCTGTGATTTCAAAGCACAACCCTTTGCCTCCTCAAGAAGGGGATTTTATTCTCAGTTGATTTCTGTAGAATTTATTAGATGCATTTTCAGCTACAGAAAGTAGTTGCTCAGTTCATATCCAACAGAAACTTCTCAGCAGAAAACTTCCAGATTCTCGCTACTAAAGATCTGATGGAAACAAACTCTCCTCTTCCCTTTAAACGGTCCCATCATTCGTTAACCCATTTCTCTGAGTCAGTGCTCCACAAGTTACTATAAATTACTATCTTATCCAACTATTTCTTAGATCCTCTATTACCACAATATTTAGTAGCATCCGGTCTTAAATGCGTCTTTGTTCACCGTGCTTTTGCAAGGAAAGGAAATACTCTGATCCTTCTCTCTCCAAAGGGTGCTTAGAGATATTAAGTGCCTTGATCAGGGGCAGGAAGAAGTCAGTAGCAGAACAGCCAAGTTAGGTCTCCTGATTCCTAGGTTAACAACCTCGTCATTTAATCACCTTTTGATTCATTACAGTAAAGCCAGGCAGTTCCAGTGCACTAGGCACTGTTTGTACACGCACAGCCTGAAATCTTAAAAAGCTTCGTTCCCATGTCTCAGGCAAAGATGTGAGGCACACGGATAAGAGCGCTCCTGGGCAAATTCAGGAATGCACGGTAGAACAGGGACTAAGTGTAGCCAGCAACAACTCTCCTCAAACTGTTTGCTGTACAGCCCCTTTTTTTTTCCTGCCAAACACACAAAAATCAAAAACCTGTCTTTTTATGCAGGTAGACAGCAATCCCTGAGAGATGGCTGGTATTACCAACAGTCAGAACGAAGGATTATCGTGAAGACTTCACCTCTTGGCCACTCCAGTTGCATGGAAATCATATGGTCACTACTGATTAAATACAGTGTATACCTGCTGCTTCTGTTCTGGAAGGTGACCATATGTTGTAAATCATTAAGTCAGCAGGGGAATGCCCAGACACACAGACATGCACACACTTTGCCT